AACAACTGTATACAGAATCTAATATAATCTAAGGCAGAGTTTCCCAAACTGTGTGGTGTACCTCCTTTGGGGAGATGCAAACAGAGTCTTGGGGAGTTGTGAAGAATCTTTATTTATTTATTTATTAAATCAATTTATATGGCTGCCCATCTCACCACAGGCAACTCTTAGTTACATTGTTACAATAAGTCCACCTTTCCCAAAGTTTCATTGTATTGTTTTCATTGTTCATTTGTTTTCATTTTGGTATTTGGATTTTTAAGGGAGGTGTGTACATTAAGATTACACTAAAGGGAGGTGTGATGGCAAAACATTGAGGACTATTAAAAATGGATATACTTTTTTCAGAACTGGATAAAATTTTCTTATCATAGATTCCATTTGGAAAGTCAGTTCTACTTGGGGAAAAAGGCCTTTCTGCACATATGCCAAAGGCTATCAAATCATTGGAACCATTCAGAGACATCTGAATTGCTTCAACAGTTAATGTGAATCAACAACCCATTTCAGAAAATCAACTTGATTCAGAAATTCAATCAAATCATGTTTGAATCAAATATCCAAACTGATTTTTTTTTCACAGCCCTAATCTGGAAGCTCTTGACAAAATACTGTTAGGCAGTATAAGCATTAGACCGAGCGAGGCACTTTTTAGGTCTGTTTTCCCCAGTTTGAAATCAGAAGGAGTCTGGTAGCACCTTTTCAGATCAACGAATTTTATTAAAAGACATAAGGTTTCATGAACTACAGCTCACTTTATCAGATGCACAAAGTGGCTAAACTGTAGGATTTAAATTAGGATGGGGAGGAGGGAGGGGAATACAGGTGATTACACTGATGCAGGTTACAAGTGAGACAAATTACAAATACCTTGTCAATTAATGGTTAAAAACCCATTGTGTTTGTTGAGACATTTTGAGGTGGCTTGAGACTGATGTATGTGAGTTTAGCAGTCCTTCCCTCAATCGTGTGGGTAAATTTTCTTCAATCTAAAACAGCTGTTTTGAAGTCTGCAATGGATTGTCCTGGGAGATTGAAATGCTCAATTACTTCATTCTTGTTTTGCATCCTGATGCCAAACTTGTGTCCATTAACTCTTTTGCATAAAGTATGGCCTGTTTGTCCTATGTAGAATCTGAAGAGGCATCAGTGGCAGATGATGGCTTATGTCACATTAGAGGAAGAGCATGTAAAGGCCCCTCTAATCTTGTATGTAAATTGTTGGGGCCTGTAATGGCGTTATTGGTATAAATGTGGGGGCAAAGCAGACATCTGGGCTTGTTGCAGGATTTGGTTCCCATGTAAGCATCATTGTCCTGTTGCTTGTTGTGTATGACAACCTGTTTCATGTTGGGTGGTTGTCTGTATGCAAGTATGGATCTGCCACTTAGTAAGGGTGTTTCCAGATGGGCAGCCAAAAGTCACTGTGTTTTTCCTTCCCTTCTTAACAGTAAGGGAAAAGAAACAAAAAAAGGGCAGAAGCACGAAGGGAAGTTTACAAATAAAAGACAACATTGCCTGGGTTTCCCATAAAAAATCAGCAAATAAGGCAGAGTGATTACACAATAACATACTACATCTAAAAGCACCTAAACTTAACCCTGACTTTTAAGAGAATTCTTTTCATTTAAATAGGGAAGTGGGATGCTGCAAAGCACCAGCTTCATCTTTATTTCTAAAAATACCCCTGGGCCAAACACTGGCCCTTTTAAGGTAACTGCAGAAGAGGGCTTTGATGAGAAATGTGTCCAGCTGCTCAGAAAGGGGAAAATAAATCAGCCTTCTGAGTCATGGCTGCCAACCAGATGCCTGTGGGATGCTTGTGAGGATGGGCAGCAGTGTGATGGTTGTCTCCTGCCATTTAGCAACAGTTGGTGTTTGAGGATGCACCTGAGATTCAGAAGGCAGGAATCGACTATTAGGGCCTCCATTGCCTCCTTGCTTATGGCTTCGCCTAGTGGTATCTGATATGGTCAAGGAACTAAGTCATTTTTGTTGTATTCTTATCTTACTTTCTTCATGGGCTGAGAGGCTGAATGCGAAACCCCACAAGAATTCCCAACTAAAATGTCTGGGGGCACTCTGCTCCCTAGTATCAAAATCCCATTTGTATTGGGGGGGTTCCCCCCTGCTAGGCTGTTGGGGAAGCAACTCCCCCACCCCCGACTATTTGATGCTTTAGACATCAACTTTCCTCATCCCCAGCTGGGCTGAATAGCGCACGTTGGCAGGGAGTAATAGTTGTCACAACCAAAGTGTGCGTGTCTTAAGGTCGCCTTCCATTCCAAAGCCGTGTCTAAAGCTGGCCAGACTCTGAAATAGGATCCAGCGCCAATCGAAACGATTTAGAATTCACAGCTGACTGACGCGGGGGGGGGGGGGGGGAAGCTGGCGGCATTGCCACTTAGATGGGGACGAAGCCAAGGTGGTGACGTGGAAGAGCCCGGGAGCATTCCTTCGGCAGCCTGGCCTTGCAGCAATCGAGCCATCCGTTCCTTCAAAACGCCTCCCTCCCTCGGACCCGGAGGTATTTCAGCATCCTCCGAACACGCGGCTTCCCACCATCGCACCGCCCTCGCCCTGAGCGAGCGCCCCCTTCCGCGGGGGCGAGCACACCTGTTATCCATCTGCCTGCGGTTCTCCCCCATCCGCCCCGGGGGAGAAAAAAAAAGAGAGAAACCTTGCGGAGCGCGGAGGTTGGCGCGAGCCTTCCCCCGTTACAGCTCGGGCTTCCGCGCTGCACGCCGCCGTTTTCACGCCAGACTTGGCTGACCTTTACGCTCCCTCCCTCTGCTTTGAGTAAAGCAGGCCGAGGCAGACGGGGGAACGGGCTTTGTGAGCATGTGCGGAATACTAGTTAGAACTGGTTTAGCAGCGCACGCGAAGTCGGAGGACGCTCGCAGCTGGTGCAGCAGCTCGGCCAACCGGCCTGCCCGCCTTTGCCACGGCCGACGAGGCTCGGTGCTGCAGAGCGCCCGCCCCCTCGCTTCCATTGGCAGCCGTCGGGGGGTGCCGTTTTCGCCCCGCCTCCTTCCCGGCTCCCCCTCCCCCCCTTCCTCTTTGCTGCCCGGCCGCGGCCGCGGCC